ATATATATAAATATATATATATGGGAGGGGGGAGAGAGAGAGAGAAATTGGAGAAAGGAAAAATTGTAGGTTTCGTGGAAAGAAAAAAAAATAAGAGGAAGCCGATTAATACCGGAGAAAATTCTGAGTTTTCACCGATATCTCGGTTATGCGATTTTTAAAAGCGGTCTAGCATAACGAAATATTAAACTATGTAATTGACACCGAATCAATACAGAAAAATAAAAAATCGGAAAGGCGACTGCAACGCATCATTATCTATTTCTAAACGAAAAAAAAAATAAATAAATAAAACAAAGAAACAGAATAAAAAGTAAATCAAATTCGTTTGTAAATTGTGGCAATATCGACGAGATTAGCTACTTTGTATCATAGATGGCCATGACCATGATCATTCTCGAAATTTCTATATCGCATTTCATTGCATTCATTTTTTCAATCAATTTTTCGTTCATAAACAAATTTATGAGATATTTGTTTATAAACTTACGATGATAATATGGAGGCCGAAAAGTATGTTCTTGTACGGACCAGCGAGGTGGAAATATAACAAAATCAGCAGCTGCTGTACCAACTTTTCCCGAGGGACATGTTAGAACAGTGAATATTGAAGGATCCTATAAAAAAAATGAGAATACTATATCTGATCTATCACTTCATTCTATCAGAAAAATGTGTGATAGGCAAGATTGAAGAAAGTAGATTTTTAAAATAGATACATTAAATAAAAAAAATGTCTATAATTCTGATACAGAATTTTACAACTAAATTTCTCTTTGAAATAATAGTTATATAAAATAATATTTCAAATATATATTATATCTAATATTTAAATATTATTTTGAAATAAATATTTTATTGAAATATAAAAAAATAGTATATAGTAAATAGTAAATAGTATTTTAAATAATATTATTTCATAATTTCATCAAATATTTTTTAACTTTATTATTATAATATCAAAAGCATATTATTATATATAATATAAGATAAAAAACTCAATCTATTTTTTTAATTAATAGAAATAAAAAATAAAAAAATAGAATATAATCATTTTATATGCTTATTGCTAATATTTCAATTAATTGAAAAACAAAATAAATATTTTATATTAAATTCAAATGCAAGAATTAAAAAAAATAGTGAATATTTTTAAATATTATTTGCTTAGAAATATTTCAATTTTTGTTGTATCAATTTATTTCATATACTTTTCGCTTGTGGTAATGTGTAATTAGACGATAATATGTACTTACACAGTGATCAAAGGAAACCGAATTAACAACCATAAATTTGCTAAGATCATATTTGAATGGAACGTAATTTCCATGCCAAGCTACTACATCGAATGGACTATGGTTTTGTTGGGCGAGAAATAATTTACCATGGTATTTAGATACGATCTCGTAATCGATTTCACGATCTTCATACCATGCGACTGGCGTTTGAAAATCCCGTGGATTCGCTAATCCATTTGCTCCTGTTTCAAAATCATAATCTGTTATATAACAATCATTAGAAAATCTATTTCATTAAAAATTTATTGAATTGATAAGAAAATATCAATAAGTACAGAAATAAATCAATTTAATAATATAATCTATAGTAAACTACTTTTTAAATTACTTGAAATTTGTGAAATTTATAAGAATATTGTAAAACCATTATGTTAGTTATATAGTTCATTAATAAATGTTTTCTATATTTTTCGATACGTTTGTCAAAATATCGTATGTGAATAAAGATATTATCCATATTAGTTCGTTTAATAAAATTTAATGAAATTTAATAAACTATTTTTGATTCATCTATTTTCATTTCAAAAGTATAGCAAATATTTTTTTCAAAAATTCTTTTTAAATTCATACAATGTAAATAAATTATATAATTGTTTAATTTATATTTTTGATTTCTAATTTCAAGAAATATTTAATTAACATAATTAATATTAAATATTAGAATCAATAATACAACTCTTATAAGATAAATTTGAGTAAAATGAAATAATACCATTTAAAATTATTTATTTTATCAAAATCAAAAATCAAAAATATAGTTTTTCAATTCATATTTACGAGATAATTTTTTTTATTACCTATTGGTCCCAAATCTGGCAACTGAAAATGATCGTCAAACACCTCTAAAATGTATCCTCGGGATGGTCCAAAGACAGTAACATTAAATCGCATACCTTGCTGGATCACACAGATCTCATTTGGCTCACAACGGATCTTGCCAAATTCTGTTGTTATCACTAATGCGCCAAGCTGGGGCACTATAAATAATACAATTTTGTTTTTTTAATTTTTCAATATTGAACATCATAAAAATTTTCATTCTTATATATCGAATCAATTATTTAATTAGAACATGTATTTTGTATTTCAAAATTTGGCCTCGAAAATGAGAAACGTTTTCAAATACTTATAAGTTATATTATTAAAAAGAATTTTCGAAGAATAAAATTTAAATGAAAAGAAAAACGGAAAAAATAAAAATTAACAAATTCATTGAAGGTATAATATAATTGATAATAAATAATCTATATTTTCAAAAAAAAAATGAATATTGTGATTATATATATTATAAAATATCTATTTTAATCTATTAAGCACCAAAAAATGATAACACACATTTAGAAATTTATAATTGCAATATTAAAAAAACAAGTTTACAAATTAATGTTAATTATTAATAGATTAATAAGTTTATATTAATTCTAAAAAATATTATTATGTTCATAAAACACTTTTGGAGAATCGATTCTGAAAGAAAAGCTAAAAGAAAGCATGAAAGTTAGATAGAAACGTTAGTTGAGATTTATTTATTAACTAATTAAAATTTGTATTAAATGAAGCAAGATAGAAATAAAATGAACTTTATCTTTCTTACACCATTGCATTTTTACTTCCAGTTTTACTTTATTATATACATAAATTGTTTATAATGTGAGTTATAATTTTTAACATTTTTATGTACCAATTTTTATATTTACTTTAATCTTTAAAACTTTATCTCAAAAATATATTAACATTCTATACATATATTATAATTCTAAAAAATATCTAATTCTTTATTAGAAAGCTTCTCTATTAGAAAGTGTCAGATGAACGGAAATGCGATTTTATATTTTTAACGGTACAAAACAAATAAATTGACAGTAATATGAGATGAACATGATTTAAAAAAATACACAACTGGTTTATTTTTCATTAAACAATTAAAAAAAAAAGATATTAAAATATTAAGTTATTTTAATTTTTAATTAAGTTATTTTATTGTTTTATAAGAAATAATAGTTTCCTGTTCAAATATCCTAGATTTTTTTATAAAATTGATAATAATTAACTAATAATTAATAAATCAACAAGTTACAAGTTAACACGATGATTGCTATCATGCATTCGATGAATTTGATTTAAAGCCAAATTATTTGAATCACTTATTTTATAAATTTTTTTATTAATGTTCAGTATTTCAATAATTTTTACTTTTTCTTTTTTTTTTAATTAATTTTAAGCATCATTAGTCCGTACCAAAAATTCATAATAAAAATTTCAAATTTTTGATTTTTCATATATTTTGATATGAATGCATTATTAGATGTAGATTCTCAATATGTTGTTTTCCATTATATATACTGCAAGAAATTCGTAAAAAAGCGAGAAATAGAACAAATAAATATTTATATACAAGTTTTAAGTATAAAATAATTCTTTTATGAACAAACAGCAATTAAGTCGTAGCCAATGTATTAATAAGATGATGAAAATAAAATATTATGAAAAATTATAAAAATGACGTGATAATTCTAGGAAAATACACAAAGTCTATAAAAAAAAATAGATAGAACTCACGGAGCAACCTAATAAACTTGATTTCAATTATTCATTTATATGCTAAAAATAAACTTATATATATATACGAACCAATGAGGAAATCTCCATCGGCATTATACAAAGCCTTATTTTTCATGGAAGCATTGCAAAGATACATATGTATTGCGATGCCTTGACGAGTACGAAAATCACCAGCTCCACATATCGTGTGCAAACCATTGACAAAATCCACTTCTGCGGCCTGTCTGGTCGGCACATCGAACGGTTTCCATCGTAACTGAAGCATAAAAAGAATATTTGAGTATCGATAAAAATATTTATCCAAAGAAAATAAGTAATCAATTTACCTGATTTGGTGTTGGATCTATAGCATCCCATTTATAATCGAGACGAGAATTACTGATCGGTAAAAAGGGTTTATGAATGACCGACGGTTTAATTCGATACAGCCATGAACGTTTATTCCGAGAGCGAGGAGCTGTACATACAAATAGTCAGAGCTGTATAATAAAATATTATTTTAAATAATAAATAATCCTATTTATTTTAAAGTATGTGTATGACTTTGAAAATCATTTTATTTGATAAAATAAGTTTTTAAAACAGTATTTGAAAATTTATTTCCTCCATTTTTAAATATTATTGTTGAAAATAATAATTCGTATTCAATACATTTATGAATATAAATTTATGAATAGTTTAATCTCTCTTTATATATATATTGTATCGAAAATCGTGATACAATTAGCTGGATAGTTTTTTACGTGTAAAAATATTTATCATTATTTGCAATCTGCTCCGATTTTAATTTCTTTCATTATCGATAATAGAAATTCTTAAATTTTAGATCAAAGAATAAAAACTGTATTACTTGTGATGTTCTAATAATTTGAGCAAAATTGAAATATTTTATTTTAGATTATTAGATTATTATTATTATAAAATATTTTATTTATCGAAATTTTAATTCTATTTAAAATATTATTTTATACAAATCAAACCTAAGATATTCAAGTATGCAAACAATGCAAGTTTTTTTCTCTAATTGAGAAAAAATTCAATTAAAAAAAGATTACTTACTAGTAAATGAGGTGCCGGATAATTGTTCTGCGTAAAGACCATAAGGACATTTTTGAGGATTATTTTGGCCAATGGGTAAGGCACCGGGACAACGTTCATCTTCGCTCGAAAATTCATTACCAAATCCTGACAAATACTGAAACGCAAAATTGAATAATTCTATTCTTGTGAATAAAATTGAAATAGTGATTATTCTTATACAATTAAATTTCGATAATTCGAATAAAGAATTATAAAAGTTTGCTATCGAAATAATTAAGAAAGAATTAATAAATTCGATATAAAAAAAATTTTTATAAGAATTAGGAAAGAAAAATTTCTAAATATAATTTTCTATTCGAGATAATTCTTATATTTGGAAAAAAAAAGAGAAAATATCGAATAAGTTTCAATTTGTAAAAATCAGCTTATTCTGAATTTATACATAATTTTAATAAATTTTATAGTTTATAATTTATAATTCAATTTTCGATATCGAAGTAGAAGGAACGAATAATAATTGTTGTTTTATAAAAATTTTTGGAATTAAAGTATTCGACTATACCTTAAAATCGTCCTTCATCGTGCAATGTTTGATCGTTGAATATTCTTTCTTTTCGATTTCTTCTCCTTTTTATATATGAATAAGACCGGTCATCTCTATATCACACGTAATCACAACGTGATCATAATTATACGAAGAACGTGTTTTTAGATATTTTGCCGTGATGCTGACCAATCATGATATAGAATATAGAAAAGTGCGTCTCGTTAATACGATCGACATTTGTATCACATTTTAAATAAGGAAATTTTTATATGTGTTGTAAAAATGAAAAATTCATTAAGACGAGCCCCTACATTCTATAAGCTTGATTTCTCACTCTCGATTAATTGAGCAACAAAGTCGATAAATAAAAAACTCGTTTTGATAACTCGTTAAAAATTCATGATAAAGACAAACAAATGAATGTCTCTTTATCTCTCACGTTTTCAGATCAGACAAGGACAAATATAGGAAGGAAAATACCGAAGAATATTAAAATAAATAAATAAAAAATATTATTACATGTATGTCACGTTAAATCGATACAAATAAATGATCCTTTCAAAATTTTAAACGTATTCAACGTTTTACTTGTTAAATTGTAAATAATCGATATATTTGAAAATGATTTACAAATGGCTAAGTTTATCAAAACGATATAAGAATCGATAAGAAAAGAAGATTGAAATTTGTTCTGTACAATGTTGTACAGAAATAGACTAATTTAAAGATACTAGAAATTTATTTAAAAATAATATTATAATATAAATAAAAATTATAATTTTATAAATTTAAATATTAGAAATTAATTTAGAGATTATTTTTTCATTATTTTTCGATATATCAAAACTTTTCAGATTTACAGTTTACAGATTTTTAAAAATAGATGCTTTACGTAGAATCTGCAGCAAACTGGCCAATTAAAGATTAATAAATTAAATCTTTTCGCAAGTAACCGAACATACATCTAATTTACAGTGTTAATAATTCATATAGAATAGCTTCGAGGACTCGATTCCGGACAAATAAAATTTGAAATATAAAAATGTTGGTTCAGATTTATTATTAAGTTATTAACAATTAAAGTTTGCGTTAGACGAAGCAAATAAGAGATAGAATGAAACCGTTACGCTCTGTCTACGTCACACTGCCATTTTACTTTATCTCTGTTTCGCTTCTTCTAAATTAAAATTAAATTGCTTGTAACTTAATGAATACACAATATTTTTATATACCAACTTTTATACTTGTTTTGACCTTTGGAGTCGATTCTCCAACAATATATACAAAATATTAATATAGAATTAAATGTTTATGATTTATTATATAACGAAATATTATACAGAAGTAAACAGAAATGCATAATAACATTCTTAATAAGCAGTATATCTTGTAACTTTGTAAGGAAAGGAAATATTTACAATGAAATATAGATATTAATTTAAACAATTAACAAAAGCTTTCTTTTTCTGAAAAATTACAAATTTATTAATATTTCAAAATCATATTATAAAATGGTACGATTATATATAAACAAATTAATATTTCTACAAAATAATAATTTTTTCCAATTTAATTTAAATCTAGTCCATTCCATTTCATTATCGAAAATTATTCGTACATAAAAAAAATATATCTTCTGAAAATAATAATTAGGTTATTATAAAAATGGTTTGAAGCATTTCAAAAAAATTGATTGAATTAATTAAATTTTAACAACTTAAATATTATTATAGCGGAAAGGAATTCGTGGTTTCTGGTGCATCATCACAGCGAACTCTATGCACGTTTTTCACGCACGATTTATACACACGCGGATTTTTACACACGGCCTTGCATCCATAAAAATAAGGGATAATGATAGTCAGTTTAAAAGATTTTAAGATCAAGATTATTTCCATTAAATTTATGAACAGAAATATCTTAATTCCGAATCACAATCGATTCGATTCAGCAGATTTGTATCAACAAATTCATCACCGGATAAAACATGATCCAGCAATCTTAGAATTTAAACCATTAAATCTTAAATAATTTTAGATAATCTTTCTTATTTAAAACTATAATATTATATTTAGAATCATGCAAATATGATTATGACATTGAAAATCACTAAACAAATTTTATCCTGTTGATGATAAAACAATATTCTCTACCAAATATATCGAAATTGAATATTAGAATGATTTTATAATTTTGGAATGTAATAATTTTAATCAAATACTAAAAGTAATTTTTTTTAGTACTGTTAAAAAGAAAATTTTAAAAATCGTATAATTAATGTACCATATTAGTCGTGGCATCATTTTTATAACTATATTATATTATACGAATTTTTGTGTAATTCATTAAACATTAAGTATTAAATTTAGTTTAAATCTTGTCTAATCAATAAAGTAAATTTAAATAAAAGGATATGTCACTTTTTCATATTTAGTTCATGTTCTCTTATAGAAGATATCTTTTGTTCATTATTATATGTAATAAATAATAAAAACAAATTTTGTGTCTATTTTTCGTTCCATTTTAATATTTATTTGCTGGGATATGAATATGTATATTTTAATCATGATTTTCCATCATATATCTTTGTAAATATCATTGATACATTTTAAATTATGTAACATGTTACTTTCATTCTCTACTACTTTCGACCCCGATCTATACCAAATTATTTGAAAGTTAAAGTTGAAAATTAAAGATCGAGCAATCAAATTTCGATACGGTTGACAGAGCAAAAGTAGCCTTTCGCTCGAGAAAACTAGACTCCTCGATTGAACTGTTATCAAGACAGAAAATATCAACATTCGCGCGACAGATTTTTAATAGATTAACTGAATATATGGATATGGACGATAATATATCAACGATTTAATTGAAAGAAATTTTTCACACGGATTTGTTTGTATCTTTTTATGTATGTGTAAATATATAGTGTTTAAAAATCAGTAGTTTCATATCATTTATTTCTATAAAATGAATAACATAATATTGTTTAAAAGTATTATTTAAATGTACTATCAAAAAATTAGAAAATATTTAAATTTCTTTTAAAAATTTATTTTTATTATTAAAAAAGTATTAAGTATTATTTATTAAAAAAGTAAAATATTGAATGAAAAACATATTCCAAAATAAAAATATATAACATTTATTTTATCATTGCAATTTCGATTCGTCGAAATTGCTTTATAGATTTTCGTCCTATTTAATAATTTTTCTAAATAATCTTCTCTAATTTATGCTCCTATATTTTGCAAATGTTACCAGAATGCTGTATAGCACTTGTGAGCTGAAAGTTTTTAACTTTTATATGAAAATATGCGAAATGTAGGGAAGTTTCACAATAATTCAAGCTAAAAATAAATATTATATATAACTCAATAAGATATTTTTATATCATAGTTTTTTTTAATCTTTATTTTTAACCGTAGTGTGCATTATACATTACAAAGAATAAATAAGTAAATAAAAATAATAATAAGAAATTTATTAATAATTCTGAAGTATATAATATTTTTTAAAATATTTGAACAAATGCAATGATTCTTATATTGTTTATACTATTAGATAATTTTGTTTTAATTTTTATAAAATTCTTTAGTTATATTTCCTATTAAATATTATTTATGCTCATTATCACTTAATAATACAAATCTTTATTTCAATTTATTTCAATTGGTAAAACTCATCAAATATACATATAACTAAATGAATAAAAATTAATAAGCTATTTAATAAAAATTCTGAAATATAGTAATATTTTTTAAAATATTAATAGACAAATAATTAAATGCAATATCACTTAGTATTATTTGCATTATCTCTTTTCTAATTTTATATTTATAACTTCTTTAATTATATTTTCAACACATTACTTTGCTCATTGTCAATTGATACAAGTCTACTAATATTTTCTCCATTCGACAAGTAAAACTCGCCATTCATAATGGCACAAAAACCTGACTCGTTTAAACATAAAGTTAAAAGGTTAAAAGTTACAAATATGTATCTAATTTATCTATATATAAACAATAATTCGGTCAAAGCGGGATATCATTATTCTTAAACAGACATTATCTTTTAACACGTTCGAAAAATGGAAGAAGAAATGTGCGGGGAAGGTTGACGAGCGAAACGAGCTAATTACGAGTAATTTGCCGTGCGTTAAGAGAGTCGCGTCCGCCTTTCGATCTGGCGGGACGCGAACTAGCCGAGAGAACGAAATTACAAAGTGGTGGGGGCCGTTTACAGTTAAACGAGATGGCAAGCAGAAGATTCCTTCTCCGGGCAACCTTTCTTCTGCATCCTGCTCGAACGGCAACCGACTAACGGAGAACACACGAATGCAGGCCGAACACTCCTCAACGTTATTACAACTCGTTGTTACTCGCTGTTACCTTGTACACACCAAAAAATAATTCGCAATTTAACGCTCGTGCAACGAACGAGGAGGTTCCGATCCAATTATTTTGGTTCCTGGTTTTTAACGTCTCGAATTTTCGCAAATCGAGTCTATCGTATTCACCGGACCACGTCGACGAAACGCGTTAGACGAAAAAGACGAGGGAGCAACTGTAGGTCGGGAGGGTGCGACGAATACGAAAAAAAAAGGAGAGAGGGAAAAGTGGCGCGGTGCGCAAGAGACGTTGAGCATAGAACGGAGTATGATTCAAAGATCGGTATTAACTATAGCCAAGGAAATATCCCTTCTCCGACAGATAGCGCGGGCCAGTCGGCCAGCTCTCGCTTCAGAACAGGTGGGCTCGACTCGAGAGAGTCTCGGTCCGCCGCTTACCGCGTGCACAGGTTGAACTTGTTATTCGACCGGTCTCTCGAGTTCTCACTTTCGGCCACGAAAAAATTTTATTAGACAATTTGAAATACCGTGCTTATATATATACACACATATATATATATATATATACTTATTAATGGTCGTTAAATCAACCCGTGTTAAGCTAATTTCCTTCCAGTTTATCGGTGACTCGACCAAGTGTACGTAGTGCGCGTTTTAAATCAGCGCGGTTTTATAGGTGCGATACGAAACACTGACTTTTTAACTGCGAATGGTTCCACGGAGATTTAAAGTCGCGAATGCTTCGAATCGATCACGTCACCGGATAAATCGGCTCCTTTCTGGACAACGATTCTCTAAGATCTTTTGCTGCGAAACGTTCAACGATCGTCCTGATTTTGCATGGGTATACACGTAAGTGAATTAGAACAAGGTCAAGAGACCTCACAAGCAGCGTTTACCGATTTTCACCCTCTACGAATCAATAATGATCCCCTTTGGTGATCCAAAAAGTGACTGAAAATTATATTTCGAAAGCAACC